GATTGAGGATTGTAGTGAAACTTCTTAGGAGGAATCTACTATACTCTTATAAGGGAACTGTAAAGTTCTTAGAGATAAGTTTGAGCTCTTAGACACCTTGACCAATGTCAAGCCATTAGTGCCAAGTTTCTTAAGAACCTTAAACACATCTTCCTAGAAGAGTATTCTGCTTTGCCTGTCTTCATTTTTATTATGTTGAGTGAACTACAAGAGGCAAAGCTGATAAGAGTGTTAAGGAACTTTAAGATTATCTTTCGATGGACCATTGCAGACATAAATGGAATAAGCCCTTCCTTGTGCATGCTTACAATTCTGATGGAGGAAGGACATCAACCTAACCTTGACACTTAGAAGAGGCTGAACCCACTAAGAAAGGTAGTGGTGAAGAAGAAGATTTTGTAGTGGTTAGATACTTTAAGAATAACACCATCTCATATAGTAGTTGGTTCATCACAAATCACTTTATACCCATGAAAGGGGTAGTGATAGAAGTGGAGAATGAGAAGAATGAAATGATACATACAAGAAGCATCACTGATTGAAGAATCTATGTTGACTCTAGGAAGTTGAACAAAGTCATTAGGAAGGATTTTTTTCACATCCTTTTCTGGATCAGATATTAGGTAGGTTGGCAGAAAACCCATTATTCTACTTAGATGGATACTCATGATAATACTAGAACTATATAACACTAGATAAAATAAATTTCAATAGTTACTGTGAATGTTTTTCTCTTATGAGGATGCTCTTTGGATTATGTAATGTCATAGTCATGTTTTGATCTGGTTGAGACTGGTATTGATATTTCATAGAAAAATTCTTTATATTTGGTGCACCTTTTGACTCATGCTGGACAATCTTGTAGAAGTGTTACAAATGTATGAGGAGATTAACTTGGTGTTAAACTAGGATAGTGCCAATTAATGGCGATAGAGGGGATTATTTTAGATTAAAATATTTTGCAAAGGGTGCTGGAGATAGATTTAATAAAGATTCAGGTGGCAAAAAACCACCTCCCTCCACTTCAGACAAAGGGATTAAGAGTTCTCTAGGCACACCATTTTCTTACTATTGATACATTAAGGACTTCTAAAAAATATTAAAACCACTATGTTATTTGTTAGATAAGGATGCACCCTTTAATTTTGATGAGGCTTTCTTATCGCCTTTAAGATTCTGAAAAGTAAGTTAGTCACGGTGTCTATGATTGTTACAATTAATTTGGATTTTCATTTATGATGATGTGTGATACTAGTGACTATGCAGTAGAGATGGTACAAAACTTAGAGAAGATACAAATTTTTTTTTCTTTTTATTACTCCAGTAGGACTGTTGCTGAGCCCCAAGTGAAATACACCATAATGGAGATGAAACTACTAAGAATAATATATGTATTTGATAAATTTAGGTCCTACCTAATTAGTCCTAGAGTCACTTTATATACCGAACACACCGCCATAAAATATCTTATTATAAGTGTTTGATATGGAGATTGTCGATAGAAAAGGTACATAGAATAAAGTAGCATTCCACTTGTCTAGGCTTGAGCAAAAAAGTTATAATGAATTCCTTTTGCATTCAATCCCATATCCCTCTTTTTATTATCAATCATCAACCTGCTTCTGTTAAAGGCAGTTATATTTATGAAAATTGTTTGATTGCTCAAGAATTGGTGCTTGACTTGGAGAAAAAAGGTAGAGATGGTAATATCATTTTTAAAATGGATATTAACAGGTCTTATGTTGCTATCATGTGAGAATTCATTTTGTAAAGCTAGAGATTTTAATAATGCCACTTGTTTACTTATCAAAAGATTTATGAAAAACTTTTGTTCCTTTTTTATTAATGAAAATAAATGTGGTATTTCAAATCTTCTAGACGCATTAAGCAAGGTGATCCTCTTTCACCTATAATTCTTACCATTGCCTTTGATATTCTTTCAAGATGTTCAATAATATGTTCAACAATTATCTTAGTATGTACTATGATGATAAACGTAATTTTGGGATTTCCCATCTTGTCTATGTTGATGATCTTGTGATTTTCACTGATGTTAATAAGAAGACCATTAAACATCCGTGGAAAGGCCTAGAACATTTTTAGTATTCTTCTAGGCTTTTGTTCAATTCTAGTAAATGTCAATTTTATTGTGCTAAGTCAATTTCTTTTATGAAGAAAAATTGGATTCAATACTTTACCAATTGTGTTAAAAGTGACCTCCTTATCCTTTATTTAGGCTTTTATATGGATAAAGGTAAAAGAAAAAAATGATCTTGTTGAGAATCCTATTGATAAGATTAATAAAAGGATCATGCCTTGGGATAATGTTTTTCTTTCATTTAGGGGCAAAGTTACTCTTTTGAAAAACATCCTTACTTCTATTGCCTTATATATTATGTATTGTATGAAGATGCCTTCTAAAACTTGCAAGAGAATGGATAATATCTTTAATAAATTTACTTGGGCTGGTAAAGATAAAAAAATTCATTGGATGAGTTGTTTGAAGCTTTGTAAACCAAATAATTTTGGTGGATTGGGTTTTAGAAGTATCAAGGACTCTGTGAAAATTAATTTTATGCACTTTGGCTGCTTTTTAGTTTTGGTGTTTCACTGTGATGAAGAGTAAATATTGTGGTCATCAAGCTATTACTGTTAATAATGCTATCACTTTTGTTTGGAAAGAAATGATTAAGGCTCTAAAGAGCTGAAAGTTTGATTTTCTGAGATATTGGGGAGGGTAATTATCAATTTTCGGTATGACAAATGGTTGGGGGATGGTGCTTTGGTTGATCAGTATGGGGGCCTTATGACATAAATTTTTTCTTTTTGTTAGGGATTGCTGATGTAATAAGAAAATCTGATGCTTATATGATTACAAGTGTTCCCATATTACAAGGTATTGATAAATGTAAGGTTGAAGGTCAGATGGGTGATTATATCTCTAATCTTTTGCTAATTCTTTTCATTATGCTAATGTTCATGATTTTTATTGGGCCTAGAATTCCTGGATAAAAAATTCTTTCTTTTTTTTTTTCTTTTAGAGGATTCTACATCTCATTATCTCTGCAAATGATAATATGAAATTAAAATTTTTAAGATTGCCTTCTTGTTGTCTTCTTTGTAGACAACATGAGGAAAGTGTGGAGCATATTTTCATTAATTATCCTTTTGCTATAGAACTTTGGAGTTATGTTTTTCGGGTTCTTTGACAGGGAGATGGATTTGAATATTGTTCATTCTATTGTTGATTACATTCATGTTTGGAAAAGGTTTGGTGGTTAGTTTTTTTCTACTATTCCTATTATTGTATTTTGGTTCATTTGGATGGCTAGAAATGATGTGAAGCATCATGAACAAGTGGTGGATTTTTCTTTTACTTATAGACTGATTATTAAATTTATTTTTAAAACTCTTAGATTTGGGAGTTTTAAAAAACCTGTTAATAAATTGGTATTAAATGTGTTTAGGAAGTTTAATCTTTCTATTCCTGTGAAGTTTAAATTTACTACTTCTTTGGTTGTTTAGAGGAAGCCAAAGTTTGGTATTTTTAAGTTTAATGTTGATGGAAGCTGGAATTCTCACATGGCTGGTCTTGTAGGTGTTTGTAGGGATTGGGAAGGTCTGTTTTGCTGCACCTGTGATTCCTATTTCTCTTTTAGTTGTGGAAGTTGAACATGATTAAAGTTTTGTAGCTTGCAAATGGATTACCCATGGAATCTCATTTTACATATGAAAAAATGTTTTCTTTCAAGTCTTTTTGCAGGTTAATTGGACGTATATACCAAGGGAAGGTAGTAAGCCAGCTGCTAAATGGGGGTCTTCTGCTCAAGAGATTATTGTTAATAATATTGTGCTAGATGTACTTTCTTGCCTTATTATTGGAGACTGTTTGAATGTTTCTTTTATTAGAGCAGCTCTTAGTTTTTTGTGATTTGCGTGAGTTGTATTTCAGTGATAGTTCTTGAGTTATTTTTTTCTTGTGTGAGTTGTATTTCTCTTTTGTTGGGTGTATTAGAACTGTCAGCAGACATTTTGTAATTTTTATTTTTGATTAATAAATTTTTTTATGAGATTCTATTAAAACAAAGGTTCCTTGAAAAACCTTAGAAGACACTTTGAACCCTTAATGCTTTGAACCTTGGGACCCAACCCAATGCCTTGAGAACCACTAAATCTTCTTGACCTTTAATTATATCAAATTGCATTATAATTGCACTATTATAAATTTTGAAGTTAAATTTATTGAAGGAACCCTAAAAATAAATCAAACTAGAAGACTAAGTTTTATTGAAGATGGTACAGTCAATTACTTCAAATGATAAAAAGATCCTTAAATTATTTTCAAGGAAATTTTATATGAAAAATGATACTTTTGCATGTTTAGAAAATGAACATACAACATACCAAATCAATTTAGAAGGGAAGGTCCATTATTGCATAAAAATTGGGGAGAAATGTATATTATTATGCATGAAGCGGTTATCATAAGACATGTTAGAAAAAAGAACATTTTCATCACTTATCAGACATACATGCATCGTATAATCAATTATCACATATCATATAAATCTTGATTCATAGATAAATAAAAGCTTCATGGATCTAACGCCATAACTCATGCAGCCTTCAAAAGATGGTTATGGGTCTAAAAATTAAATATAGCAATTCTTTTGTAAGTATTCCTTCACAGTTTGACATTTGGAGGCATGTGATACCAAGATAATGAGCCTTTAAGATAGCTACTGATAATAGAATACATTTCCATGAAGACAGATAAACTTACTCTTGATGGATATGCTAAGAGAATGGTAATTGGCTTTGAAGGCTTTGGCAAGAAAATTAAAAAAAAAAAAAAAACTTTATAATTAAAATGTCCTTTTAGCATATAGTTTATAACATAACTTCGTAAATGTCAGCTACATGATGAGTTATTAATTTTGATCAAATGCTTTTTTACTAAAACTAAATGGAAAAATTATCTTAAAAGGACATAGGATTGACAATGTTTAGATGCTGGATATTGACAAAATAAGTGAGTTTAGTGAGACACATTGTATGAAAACAAAATATTAGATGAATTTTGGCTATGGCACATGTAACATCTGTAAATTAAGACAATGCACTTGAGTTTGATGCATCCTCAAAGCACGTCGTTCCTATCAACCCTATCGAGTGATCGGAATGGTTGAAATGAAATATCTGGGATGTGAACGTTAGTTTGATTAAAGCGTATTACAGAACAGATACACATACATGGATTTAGACATGCAGCATCGCTGATGAATGGGGGGCTATACACTCAATATTATTTATTGACAGCATTCCTATGCAGAAAAAAGGCTAGGAACTAGCAACAGGAGAGCCTTCCTGAACCGTTTTCTGCTTCTAAACCAAATAACTGAAGCCATCCCCTACCAGCTCCGGCAGAGCAAACCTTTTGCCGAGTATTAGCCATGCAGACTCTTCCAAAGACTGATGATGTAAAATAAAGGCATGGAGCCATCATTTCCTTTCATGAATCTTTAGATAACCACAGCTGATATGGCTACTTGGTGGGTTGAGATTGTGAAATAACTGTGCCAAAAGACGAAGTTATCTGAGCTAATTCCTGAATATCTTGAGCACCCCATGAATCATACACTTCCTTTGGAAATACCTCGGTTAAGGCTGCGGCATTGGTCGGGGTATACGGTCTTGGCACCTTTCTTCTCTTATTATCCTGCAAATGCAGGAATGGAAAGGCCTTCTATGATTAGGCATTCTTCGCCAGCTTAATAGCACATTAAAAAAAAAAAAAAATGTGAATCAATGTAAAAGTACAAACCTTTGAAGCATTTGGTCCATAAGCTATGGAAGCCTCCTGAATTGATGAAAAAATTTCATTAGCTTGGTGTGATCCACGAGTGCATTTTACGATACGGACATTTTCCTTTGCATCAGGAGACTTTATCTGCATGTATAATATCAAGCATGAAGGAGGTGATCCCATGCTATCCTTCTTTCCATGGGTCAACTCCATGGTCACCAAATCCTCCCACAACACATCCCACATTACTGAGCAGGCATCCCTTGCCGGATTAAATTTCCTCTGAGCCAAAATGTTCACTGGTTGCTGAAAACAGAAAGAGTTGGTTTAAAGACATATTTTTGAACACATGGTTGAGAAAAAAATATAAAGAAAAAGGCTAACAAAGATTTTTTAAGTCGATACTTGTAACAACAACACTCTTCTGTGAGTGACTAAAAGTATCTTTCCCTTTGGAAGTAGAAAGTGATCTTCATATGCATCTGAAAATGCAAACTTTCCCCTTACTCTAAATAGATCAACCTGGCCAAAGAAGGAACCCGATTCTGCCAGCTGAAGGATAACCTTCAAAGAAAAATCAATAAAAAAAATTAGATTAAGACTTGGTCCTTTCATTTTCATTAACACAGTCCAGCCCTAGTAGCATTGAAATGCCTGAACAAGTTTGATGCTCCTTGATAAAGCAGCAAGAATGGAGAGAATGGCTTGAGGCCCAAATACTTTACTTAAATCTATAGTAGTTATGAATGTGATTTCTCCAAATTTTGTTATAATTACATAAATTTGTTCCACATATTCAGCCCTTGACTCAAATACTGAACTCTATAGAAGTTATGAAAATGATTTTCTTCAAATTTTGTTATAATTATATAATAATTTTCCACATATTAAGCCATTGACTCAAACCAACTAACATATTTTGTTATAATTACATTAAACGTCAACCGTTTGATGATCCGATTAGAAGAGTGAATGCTTTAGATTCGACTTATATTAGGAAAGGCAGAGGTAGACTTGGGTTTATTGTAAAAAATGATCTTAATTTATTAGAACTAAATGAAAATATGACACAAATGAAACTAAATGAAAATATGACACTAGATAGGACGCAATGGAGAAAAAGGATTCATGTAGCCGACCCCACATAGTGGGATTAAGGTTTTGTTGTTGTTGTTGTACATAATTTGTTTCCACATATTCAGCCCTTGATTCAAACCAACTAAAATTAAAGAATAACAAATCGGATCACTTACAAGTGATGCTAGCTCTTAGTACTGTAGTCCCTAATCTTTAAAAATTGTTATAATATAATAATAATTTAGCTGTTAATTAGCTGAAATTTAAATTGAAATAAATTTATTAAATGGGTTAATGAAAATAAATAAGTAAAATTATAATTAAAGATAAAAAATATTTTAATACTTGCTCACGAGTTGTCGTCCGAACGAAGCTCTCATCACCCCGCATTCTACCAAAACAATAGAAGCAAGCGAGAGATTGAGGAAAGGAGGGAGTGTGGACATTCCTTCAGTCACGCGAGCAAATGATCACGTAGACATACAAAGCCGCTCGGACGAGTATGCACGAGCAGCAAGTAGAGGGTGGTAGTAGGCTAGCCTCATGCGAAGAAGGGTAAAAGATAAACAAGAAAGAGAAAGACCGGAGGTGCGAGCAAGGGAGGGGGGAAACTGAGCAGTATCTCCCTAGCTTAAGATAGGCAAGAGAATGAGGAAAATTTTAGTTTTCATGTTTTGGTAAGAATTGCGGAATAGATACTTAGGATTAAATTATCTCATAGGTTGCCACCTTTGAGAGCGGCCCAACATTTAATGAGAGTTTATTTAACAATTTCCAGAAGGCCTTATGAAGAAAGCTGGGTGCTAAGTTCCATTCGAATTCAGTAGTGCATCCCCTAATAGATGGTCAAACAGGAGAGATGAACCACAACATTGAAAATCTGCTTGAGAGCTTTGTGTGAAAGAACACCCGACAATGGAATCCAGGTACTTTTAAGAAAGAAGAAGCTTCTCCAAGTTGGGGAGAATGATACAGGAGCGTAATGATGGGATCCCACGATTCCATTTCAACAGGATTCTACTCCTGTCATTCTCCCGCAATCGTGATTAGGTCTACAAGACAATCGACAGAGCCGCTTGAATTTCCCTTTCAGCCAGTTTTTTTTCTTTTTAATTTATTTCCTATTCCTTTATTTCCAATTTTTTATTTCCTATTTTTCTTATTTCTAAGTAAAATTTTTACATGAGTGATTATTTATATGTTGTTATTTTATGGTTTGGAGATTTTTAATGATTGTTATTGTGTTTGGAGATTGTAATACCTATTTTATGCTCTCCAGAATATTGTATTCTCTTCCTCTTATAAGTGGGGTACCTGCATCTTGCTAAGGAATAGATGGTGGACCCCTCGCAGCTCGTATCTCACGTTTTCTCCTTCAAGTCATTGATTTCAGCCAAGACAACGCCAAACACAACGGATCTATTGTTCAACAACAGATTTCAGCACCTATCCCCATCCAAAAGGCATCCATACTTCATCTTTCAACTTTCTTGTTATTCCACAACCACTTTCTTGTCAAAACCAACTTCCTAAATACCTCTAGGAGCCCTATAATGATATCATCTCTAAATACCTCCTAGAAGCCCTAAAACGATATCAATAGGTACACCAAAGATATAGCTTGATCAAAGGAAGAGTAACCGACTCCAGTGAACATGTCGATAAATATATTTTTATTTTAAAACAATTCCTTTTATTTCTAAAATCAAATACAGGTATTATAAATTATTTTAATATTCTATTTTAACATACAAATTTTATAATTTTCATATGTTAATTTTTTCACAAATGTTGAATAAAAGAAAACAATAACATATGATAAATACATATTTAAATGTGGAGTCAACCCCGAATGGTACAAGTTGGGAAAAGAATGTACACTTGCACGTAAAAAAACTTGAAATGAAAATAATTGCTTAAGTTTTCGGTGGGTTCTAAAAAATATTATGAAAATATGCATATTTAAATGTGGAGTTAATCCCGAATGGTACAAGCTGGGAAAAGAATATACCCTTGCATGTAAGAAAAAATGAAATGAAAAAAATAGCCTACGCTTCCGGTGGGCTCTAAAAAATACTATGAAATGTGTACTTTGAAGTACATGATTAGATGAAAACTCCCTTTGACCTATATTTTATACGAAACAAATCAAATTCATAACTATTTCACTCATTTCTTCCATTTTTTTACAATTTTTTTCTTTAGTATTTTATAAAATCTGAAAATATACCATCTTTTTTATAAAAAACATTTAGAAATGTGAATTATTGTAATTTAGATGTATTTTATAACTAAGTTGTTTAACCCATAGTTACAGTTGCAATATTTTTATTTTTTTGAAAATATCTTTTAGAGTAGATGAATACTAGAGGTTATGCTATGTTGATGAGCCAAGAGAGATAAGTACAGTATTTCAGTTTGCAGTTTTTCAACAGTTGTAAATATTTAAATATGAATAAAGTTTTGTAATTTAAAGTTTAGTATCAAGATTTACTCTTTTATATTTTGGATACCCCATGTAATGGGATTAAGGCTTTGTTGTTGTTCTTGTTATTGTTATATATATATATATATATATATGAAATTTTCTGCTAAGAAAATATATTTAAAAAAAAAAAATTCTCCCTTTAGCCGTTTGTTCTCGGCTTGATATTTCAAGCTCCTGAGCCAAGTCATAACATATAAATAATATTTGATAGCTGGAACGGTGACAGGGCAAAAGAAGCATTTCACAAAATAAATTGGCTGCAGTACACTAATTTACACACCCCACTAACGAAACAAAGCACCTAATTTAATTTTCTCCTTTTGGACTCTCAATTTCATCGAATAAATATGCATAACAAGAATTAAATGCTAAAAGCTATATATTTGAATTTCTTTACCTGTCCAGTTGCTTTATATGCATCATACGGCCGGAGCAAATTATCCCCGCCAATTACTCGTGGAAGACGTCTGCGAAGCAGTTGTTCCTCGGATGTAATAGCAGAAGCTATCTTCATTCTAACAGCATTTGCACCTTCAGTAGTTTTTGAAAGAAGATCAAGCACCCCGCTCACAGGTTGGGCAGCAGCACCAATTATTCCTTTGCCGAAACCTTGTACAAAGCCCTCAACACCGGAAGATTTGGCTCCTTCAAGAGGCTTTGTTAGTATTCCAGTCACTCCTCTGAAAAGCCCTTTTGCAAGAGCTCCGCCTCCCTCTCTAATCACATCACCAAAGTCCTCCACAGCTTTGCTATCCTAGAGAAGATATAGTGATACATTATCATATTAATGAACAAAAAGAAAAAAAAAAAAACGCAACGCTGTTTAATGCACTGCTGATGTATGCTTTAATCATTTTAAAGTTTACTTTAAATTTGAGCAACTCTATTAACTATTTTTCTTTCTTTAGTTTACTTCAAGTATTCTGACACTGTACACAAACTGGCATGTTAAGGATGATTCTGCATATGTTTTCCACGGTATTACACAATAATATAAAGCGAAACAGATGTTTTCAACCTGTTCATATCTAATTCTCTAAAAACCGGACATTCAAAGCATATTCTGCTACCAGAGATTCTGTATGGAACTTCAGTGGCATGCAATAGAACCATAAAGTAACCTACTAAAATGCTTTCAATTGCACGGCGCCTTGAAGGCCATCAAAACATAATGGCTGGGTGTGTGTGGAGTTGGATTGGCCAATAGTGGGTGCAAGAGCAAGAAAACTGATGAGACCTCATTACCTGTCTCTGTCGACTCTGAATAAATTTCTTGTCCATAGATAAAGCAGCAACACCTTTGCTCATGTTGCTCAATGCACTGCTTGCATTGCCGAGGATGTCAACACCAGAAAGAAGCTGAAACGGATGACTGAGAAGATCCTTTTGAATGCTAGAAATTGCAGCACTTATAAGGGCACTTTGACGCATGCATATCTCCTCGCGGTATTTTTGTCCAATACGAATCTGACAGATCAAGTTGATATATTTCATAAAAGAAGAAATGAAGAAATTTCAAGTCATTGAAATTTAAGCATCAAATTTCCCGGATTAAATTATAGTAGAAAATAAATTGAATAAACTGCAATGCAATTATTTGAATTAACTTCCTTTGAGAAAGAAACAGACTCAAAGACCAACCTGCATATGCTCAGTGTTCCCTAAAGCAGTCATCAAAGATGACCAAAATCCCAGCACACCCCTTGGCCTTTGGGATGGAGACATAGCCATTGATATTTTGAACCGGACCTCAGAGATATTGAGAAGCCTATGAAATACAGATTAATTTTAGCATACTCTGATAAACTAAAAAAATTAAGCATTAACCTGGAAATTGAAAGTCATGCATATACCCAATTTTTATTATTGGATCAACTGAAACAGCAGTGTCTGTTGATCCGAATGATCTACCAAATTTCAATTGATGAAATAACTCATGAAGGCGCCAAATAATTGGTTCATGAATGTTTACTAAGAAAGCAGAGTTATCAGGAACCTGCACAAACATAACTTAACAGTCATGTCTGATGTTTACTGATAAAATGCATTACATCAGTTAATTGAAAATCAACAGAATAGAAAGAACAGAGCCATCACATCAAAACATAATAGTGAAGGTTTGCAAACAGCAAAATCTACTCCATAATACAAGTTTCAAGGTTTGCAAACAGCAAAATCTACTCCATAATACAAGTTTCAATTATTCAAATAAATGGTCAGCGGACAGTAAAAAATGAAGGCTAGATTAAGTTGGCTAGAATACTTGAAAGCCGATGTACGGGTATTCACAAAAATCTAGTGCACTGTTCTTCTGCATGGTCATGGAGAACTTCAGGACATAATCCAACTGATCTCCAACTTTGTGTGGTCTAAACAGAACTGGCATGGGAGTAAAGGGTAATTGGTTGTCGACTTGTACCCCATTCATTCGTAACTTCAATCTGCAACATTAAATTGCACACCAATAAGCAAGTTTGCCCGTATGTTTCATGATATCCAAACTAAAGCAGAAACTAAAAATCAAAACATTCTATCCTTAATATCCATGCAATCAAACTTGGGAGCTCACATTTGGACTTACCTACTAATTCCAGAACCCAACCCAGATGAATACGAGAAAATAAGACTTTGAACTGAGAGAAAAAGGATCTCTTCAGGCAAGTGGTCAGTAATAGATAATCCAAGCTCTGCAAGCTCAAATGTAACATGAAATTCACCATCCAATTCTGAAGAAGACTGCTTATAATCATTCTCAGAAGGTTCAAATACAGGTAACGGAGCTCTTTCATGTACAATTATGGGGGCATCATTTTCTGGCATCCAGTCACTAATCCTGGTGATTTGCAGTTTGCCTTCTTTACTAACCATAAGACACAGAGCTCTAGCAGGTCCATTAGATGTTTCTATAGGATGATGATCCTTAACCTCATCAATATTGTACTCTTGAGAATTGATGGGATCAGCACCATCCACCAAAACTTCCAACAGATGCTGCCTTCCAAGGTCTTCCCAGAAGAATGAAGATGCTGAATTAGGTGGAAGATAATACCAGTAACCATCACTATTGCCCGCTTGTCGAAAGCGTACAGGGAGAAAAAGTGAACGATTTTCAATTCTGCTAAAAAGAAAGCTCATGGTTGCTAGAATGGTAAACCAATAAAAAATTGGGTATCAAGGTTGGATGTGTACTGCATACCTATATGGGCTATAATAAGAGTAAAGACGAAACACAACTTCATAGCGGGAGCTTTCCATTCCACTACGAACTTCAACTCTCAAGTAAATCTGATTCCCTCCATTTTCATTGTTAATGCAAATACACATCATACCGTTGTTTCCGATGCTGAATGGAGAGCTCCAATTGCAGCCATCAAGACTTAACTGAAACTCTCAAATGATAATCATGTATATGTCAGTATATATGCCAGTAACAATATATAACTTCAAAGCCTGTGTTCTTTTGACACAAGATTATGAAATTTGATCCTTTTCAAACTAAAATCAGTATAACTGAAGGAATAGCAGATTTAACTATTTTTTAGATCATATTCTGAGTGTTTATGATGGTTTTATTTACTGAAATATAAAGGAGAATGAGAAATTTTTGTTCTGCATTCTCTAAGACATCTAAGTCGGCCTTCTAATGCAGACATTGAAAAAGAAAAAGTTGAACTCCTCACTCTCTCTCTCTCACTCTCTCTCTCTCTCTCACTCTCTCACACACACACACCCAAACAGCTCCACGTGCACGCAAAGAAAAAGCATATAAATAAGAAAAATGAAATTAAATAATTAAAATGTTTTTTCTTTACCTTCAACATTTCATTTCCAAAACTTGATTGACATCTCAAGATCTTTGGAGGATCAGTTGGTAACAATAACTCCACCAACTCAGCATCATATTGGGACAGATACAAGATTTGTCCAACTCTATTGATAAATAAAGTATGCGGTAAGAAGCTGATGACCTACACAAAGTTAAAACATAAACAGTAAATATTGGAACATGATAGAAGCTTTTTTAACTTTTCAAATTTATTATTATTTTTTGGGTATTGAAATTGACATTTAAGTACTATTCAGATAGAAAAGAAACTGATACACGTGGTGATTATTTACAATATTTCCAACCATCAGAAGTAAATAGATAATAATTATAAGGTATTTTTTTACTAGCAAACAATATTCATATCTAAATGAATACCAAAAAAAATACAAAAAGCAGACAAATACAATAAAAATTTATCAAGTTCACCTATATTTTCTTCCATTTCTTAAATTATAAATTTCAGTTTCCAAGTACACCTTTATTGACAAAATTAGAAGTGGCATTTGAAATTAAAGAAAGTTACGCTCACTTCATTTGATTAGAATCAAAAGCTAATTATGGAAACGCTTAAATATAGGTTCCATAAGCTGGAATAACTAACAAAGGCTTAAATATAGGTCCAATTAGTTTGAAAAAAATATGTTAAGAGCGAGAAAACTAACCTTTGTTCTGTCAGAAGACATTCTAAGCTGTGCTGAGAGCTTGAAATAGGATCCATCTGATGAAAATGCTTTAACATCAACACGCTCCTACAGAATAAGATGTTTATAATTATCAGCTTCAAAAAGCTCATACGTGAAGTAGAACTCCAGAGGCATAAATGTCTCCTCACCATTCTTTCAAGATCAATAAGTGAAATCCCAGGGCTGTAATGTTCAGAATTACAAACAGCAACAGAGACACCAACACGTGTAGATAAAAGACCATCACTGCAAGATGAAGATGATGAAGCTCCACCATGATCAGTGTAGTCTTGAGGTGATAGCATAACACAATTTGGGTTGAAATCATTAATAACTTCCAGAATACTGCTGCTTTTCCTCGAGTGAGAGAGCTTTCTGTCGATAGATTTTGAGCTATGTTTCAAAGTAAACTTTGCCGATTTAACAGTTCTAGATGTTGTGAGAGAATCAGTATCCAAACTGTCCAATGGGTCAACATCCACAATGCGATATGATAATGGTACAGATGAATCATTCTGGATCCAATATGGAACAAAAAACCTCACCGACTTTGGAGCAGCATCAGTTCGTCCCATATCATGTTCAACACTAACACGCACCTTCCTGAAAAGAAAAACAGCTTTGCAGACAATAGGGAAACAAAAGATATTTAATGAACAAAACGAAAACAATATTCGCATAACAAGTCTTAATTTTATCTTATTTATGAAAAAAAAAAATATTTATCAAAACAGGATCCTGATTCTATTTTGAGCATGCAAATTACTAACTCTCAGGCAGATAAATGTGAAAAAAGAGGACAAGATGATTTTAAGAACAAGAAACTCTGTGTGAATACATTGATTGCGTGAAATTTGTTTGGATTGTGTGAAATTTGTTTTCAAGGACAAGAATCTCTCATTGCACAACCTTTTACCAACCATAAATAAATAAAGTCCTTTTGGATTGACTTTGCGATTATTTGAGTTATGAACAAAAAATTTGTAAGAGGATGATAATTTTCCAAACAAAAAATTCTTTTATTAGGTGTTTTGTGCATTCTTGTGCTCCTTTCTCTTGTTTCTCATGATGTGTTGACCTAAACTCTGTGTGAATACATGGATTGTGTGAAATTTGTTTTGATAATCTACATTCCTGATTTTACATATTGACCCTTATATGTTCACTAGTTTTTTCTTATTGGTATACACACAATTCTGGGTACTTGGTGGGAGAGCTATGGGAACATTTAATGGAGTGGTAGGTTTATTTTCAGGTTGATTTGTGATAGTGGGAACAAGAATGAGTTCATCAAGGATAAAATCTTGATGAATATGATACCCCAAGGAGGAAAGCTTGAGATTCCTGAATGATACCCTAAATCTGATATTCTCTCCAATTCTCCCCATAAATGTTAGATTTGGGATAATATGATTGGTTTTCAAAGAATGCGTCATCCATAAAGTTATAAATTTTGTGTTTCTGGAGAGTAACATATATACACATTTTTTTTTGAAGAGTATCTCACAAAGATGCATTTTATTGATAAGAGATTTAGTTTGAACTGATGTGATCGATGTAGATGAACCAAAGCGACGCAACTAAAAATTTTTGGTGGTAGGCTAAGAAGTGAAGGACTGAATGTGGGGGTAGAATTTTATGAGGTTGTTGAGAGATTTGTTAACGTTTAGCACTCTATTGAACATCCTATTTATAAGATTAAGTAGGTGTGAGAATTGTATCACTCAAAAATTTGTTTGGGTACATTGTTAGTTAATAGAATTGAACGGGTCACGTTGAGGACTATTCTTTCTCTCAGCCAGACATTTTTGTTGGATTGTGTCAACGTAAAAACTTATATAAATGATGTGATTTTTGGATAGATAAAAGCTAAGAGTGAAGCTATCGTAGCATTTTGCATTATTTGTTATGAGATCTGAATTTTGTTCTGAAATTGGGTGAGAATCATGTTGTGGAAGGTTTCTAATATGCTAGCAGTTTCATATTTTTCCTTCATGAGAATTTTGATGTGATCATAAATGAAGGTGACAAATCTAGCCCCATTATTATTTTTTATTTTTTAGGGCCTGCAAATATCACTATAAAACATATAAAAGGGATGTGTTGGTTTATATTTCAGGCTTTGATACATTTGTAAAGTATGTTCAGTAAGCTGGAAACATTCACACTGATGAGAGCTAGGTCTTCTGTTGATAAACAAATAGGGATAAAAATTTTCAAAATAATAGAAATTATATGCCGAAGGTGAAAATGCCATAACATAACTCGACTCCAATGAGAAATTGACTTTGATACAAGACTTGACTAAATGGATTGTAAATAGTGGGATAGTCTTTTTTGAAATGGAAGTTCTAGTGAGCGAATAAACACTGTCAAACACTTTCCTTGAGTCCATTACCTAAAATTTATAAAAATTATTGTACAATTTTATAAAATAATTCATGTTATGAGTAAGTTTACTGATAGACAACAAAATACAGTTAAGTTTATGAAAATAAAGAATAATTGAAGAATAAGATCCTTTGAGTTTCACAAGTTCTTTTCTTTCCACAGATGAGAGAGTTATCTGCAGTTTTAACTACAACATGGTGTCTGCATGAATTGAAGAGTTAAAGAGCAGTGATATCACCTGTCATGTGATCAGATGCTCCAAAGTTTACTATCCAAAGCTGATTTCTCCAGTTGACAACAACAAGAGTAGATAGAAGACTACCTTGATGTGCTAGAAGACTGGTAGACGACATAGAATATTCTCTCAAAAGCCTTTGGAGAGCTTCAAGTTATTCTTTGCTGAATAGACTATGTTCATAAGACTTGTTCCTTTGATGTTGAGTTTGCTTGATTTTTCCCATTACTTTTGACTTAGTTAGGCTTTCAATAAGTAGTTTTTAAAAAAATTTTCCAACACTTATCCTTTTTGATGACCAAGCTTATTGCAATGTTCACACAATAGTCCATTCCTCAGTGATTTGTTGTTCTAAGATGAATTATGAGTGTATAAAGCCGAGTTGTCAACATTTGATGTAGGGAGATTACCTGTCATCATGAGTTTCTTTATATTCTCTTCCCTTCATATTTCAACAAAAACTTCACAAATTGAGGGAAGAGTTTTGGTTCCAATGATTCCTCCTCTTAATTCATCTAGTTCCTTATTGAGTTCTAAAATAAATTTGAAAGTTCCCTTTTGTTCAAAAATGAATTTGTAAATAGTAGAGCCTTGTGAGCACTTCCATGTGTATGTTTCATGCATATCTAGTTGGTGCCAATATCTGAAGCGAGTGTTGAAGTATTAAGTAACATTCAACTTACCCTGCCACAGATCATGTAATCTAGTTTCAATGTAAAACAACTTAGAGGTATTGTCAACACTTGATAAGTTTCCATTATGACATCCTAGATTTCTTCTATCGTTTTATTTAGGAGAAAATTTTCTCTATTTCAATTGTCATGGAGTTGATTTCTCTAGTTTAAATTGTCATGGAGTTGACAAATCATAACATGATCATATAATCATAAATTTTCTATGCCCCGATGTTCAGGATTTTTCTCGGTGAGATAACCATCTTTTTCCTTTACCACAGAAGTACAAGAACACATATTGAGACCATTGGAGAAAATTTTTGCCATGTGATTTATGATTGGTGATCTAGGAAGATATTTCAAATGCTGTAGAACAAAACATCGATAGTTAAGGTTCACAAGTAACTTTTAAAGAGGAAGCAACTTTTATGCCATATTTGATCATGATATGGTGTCGACAGGAAAGAGTTTCAACAGGAAGAAATCATCTTTTGTTGGACAGGATTTCTACCGGAGAGACATACTGTGCAATAGAGAGATAAAGTAGTTGCCACCAAAAAAAGAGTTTTTGTGCAGGACCTAGAAAGACAAGATGTAGTCACAGGTCAAATGTTATTGATATAGTAAGTTTCATTGAATAGCATAATATTTTTAAAATATCAAAAGTTTATATTGATTTATTAAAAACTTATCTAGCATGCAAGTTATTTTTTGTCCTTGTATTACAGTAGTTTATAAGTATGAGTATTCATTGACTTTGATTAACTTACAATTATTTTAAACTAACTACTTAAGTGTAATTAATTTATTAAAAAATGAACAATAAAAGAGATCTGGGCAATGAGAATAAGGCCCCATATGGGGTGGCGGTAGGGCAGTAGCGAGGCGAGGCACCACAATATTTTTTGTTGGGGTCGACAGAGCAGCAGTGACGTGACACATTTAGGTTAAAACGCGGGCCGCGGGTTCGACACCGCGGCCCGCTTTTCTCGTTCAGACTTTTACCTTGGAGCCCTCTTTTCGATTCCGCCCTAACTCTCTTTCTCGTTCGACTTTTTACTCAAAGTGGAAGCTACGATCTATTGCTCTTCCCCCTCTTCTCCCAAGTTGCTCATGCTTCTTGGTTCCTCTTCCTCCACTTCTCCCGCGCTTCTCACACTACCTGGTTCCTCTTCGTCCTCTTCTTCCTCTGTTCCCCAACGGTAAGCACTTTTTCTTCAACAAATGCAAATGCTTGTTCGTTGGATTTGTAATGTTAGATTTGTAAATGTTATTCGATGGTATGGATTTGTGGTATGAAAATGAATTGAATGCTAGATGTTAGATTGAATTGAATTCTTGGTGGCTCGATTTTGGGTTTGGTAAGTTGTATGAAAATAAAAATTTTGAGGATGTGTCTTGGGGGATGACAACAATCTAATGCAAGATATTTTTTAGTGAGGGTCTATAATGGCTGTGACATAGTCATTGATGTGAATACACATCATTTGGGTGGTCTGCATGATGATCTAACAAAAAAAAAGGAAAAAAAATTATTGTGGGTGCGACTTGAGCATTGATGTTAGATTATTCTTATTATACTTTGAAATTCTTGGTGGCTGTACCTTGGGCATTGATGCGAATACATATCAAATGCGTGGTTTTGGCTAGGGCAAAAATATTTATTGTTGTTGTTCCTCTTTCAACTTTATCTAATTGAGCAAAACTATTGAAAAAGCCTTCCCTACTGACATCGCGCAGAGCACATAGCTACGGGAGAAAGTTCTACAGGTGCCCGCAGTGTGCAGACGGTTCAGAGAAGTGTGACTTCCTCCTTTGGACAGACAGTCCGACAGATTTCACTGCCGATAGTGATCGGGGTTGGATGACATCCCTGAAGAATGACGTAGCTCGGGACATATGCCGGTTGGATTTTAAAATTAATATAATTATTTTTTTAAATGTAATTTTCATACTTTTTTCCTTTTTTTAGTATACTTGGTACTCACTGTTATGTACGGTGTGCATCTTATTTTTTTACTGTTATGAAGTAGTTTTTTACTTCTTAAGTATCAAATATATTGCTATGTCAGTTTCGTTGTAAATAACATTACTGCACAAGGGCAAAATAGTCATTTATTCAGAGACAGCTGCGTGACAGCTGTTTTCAAACTGTAAAAAACAAACAGACAGTCAGCTTTCCTGCAACAGCTTCTTGGAGCAGCTGCTGCAAATCAACTTATTGGTTAAGCCGCAGCTGTCCCAAACAAACCCTAAGCCATATGTTCCTAAAAAAGCTACAGATACAATACTTGCAAAAGGAAGGGGATAGATCACTACTTAAGGCAAATTAAGCAAAAATTTTCAAAATAGAAAACAATTACACATAAATAGGTTCATAAAATAAATATAATTATGATAAATAAATAGGAAATAAGCCATAAACATTAAAAATTCCTGCATAATTCGTCAACCAGACTGGATATGTCAGTTTGGCCCTCTCACCATAGCGGAAAATCACAATTCTTCACGCACAAGCAACAACACAATAGGTAGATCCCTGACTCCACTTCTTCATGCACAAGCCTCCTTCCTTCTCCACTTAACTCTCGATCTCCTTTCCTTATGCTTTTGTCATTTTAGGTTTGAATGGAGACATTTGCTTCCTTAAAAGAATTAGTTGAGATTGTTGCTCCCTTTCGAACCAACACAGACCCCTTCAAAGTTCTTTTTATTTTTTTGTTATCTTTTCTTTTTTTTTTCCAGTAGTTACATTAGTTATATATTATTTTTTATTGAGGGGCTCTTAGATATTCTTTATTTTGGAGTTTTGATGCAGCTCATTTGAATTTTATGTATTGCGGAGATCGTAATCTCTAATTTATGCTCTAAAGAGTGTTATATCATCTTCCTTTTTCAAGTAGAGTGTTTGCATATTGCTCAATAACAGGCGGTGGATCCCCCTCACCGTTTCACCGTAATTTTAGTCAAAATAACAACTAAATCGTTTAAATCTACCATCCAACAACAAATTTTGCTTCCTATGTCCATCCAGATGCTGTTGACTGTCCCTATCCTCTTCTCGTACCATTCCACAATTACCTAATTGCAAAATTATCTTCTTAAACAACTTCTAGGATCTCTGGATTGGTGCCACTTGAGCTTTCTAAATATCCCTCCACGAAACCTCTTTTTATTCAATCTAATCCACATCATGTCACATTCTTTGAAAACCATATAGCTTTCTTTTTCTTTTTAATTTATTAGCTTACTTCTAATACTTGTTATTCTGCTTGACAGTTAATGTCATCACTTGCTCATGTGGGATCTAAATCTCCCTAACACTAACCTCTGCATCCATGACAAGCTCAGTAGCAATTAGAGTATCGACAATAACTCCAAAGAAATGAAAGAGTTCCGCCTGTATATAATCTCAAAAAAGTTAGTTTCGACAATGTCTCTGACTTTTGATACTCGATGTTCTACTTAGAAATCTAGGTCCTTAACTATTCATGTATGGTTTAAATCTTTCTAACTCTATCCTCTACATCCATGCTAATCTTAGTAGCTATTAGTATCAGCAATAACTCCGAAAATATGAGAGTTCCATCCATATACAAAACCAATGAGGTAGTTCTCTAATTTAATCATCTAGCACTTTATAAGCCATTAGATCTTTATTTTTCCATTTAATAAATCAAAGATACTAAAATCTTTCACATATAAGTATCATCTTATCGTTTGGTAATTTTAAATGAATTTGTTAAAATAATATCCACCAAAATTATACAATGTACCGGCTATGTTCTATTATTTTATGGTTTCTATCTTCTAAATAGTTCATTTATTATTCTAACATTTCATTGGTTTCAATAAATGCATCATTCATTAGAACTTATCAACTTAAAAAAAAATATACGATCTGAGAATTCTAAGCAAGCATTTCCATAACCAATACAAAAATATGAATTTGACATTGATCATAGGCTCATTGTCTCATATATTGAAAATTATTTTGACATAGGTAACTCATTCATAATTAACCACACAATAATTACACAAAATCCTTATACTGTGAGTCAAAATGCATACCTCTTACTTTGTTGATGAATCATCCAAAATGATGATGCATGTTCAAGCTTTAAGAGATCCATAATCAGAACAGCTTCCTGAAGGTGTATCAAATTATCAGGTATCTAGAAACTTCAGAGAAATACTAGTTCATTTTCTAATTAGTCACTCAGTTACCTTCTCTAGAATCCAACCACCTTGAACAAACAATGTAAGGTAGATAGGCCTACGTATATCAGTTGAATAAATAAATGAACCGCCATTTGATGACACAATACCACGCTGCCGTTCAACCATATTCCCTTGAGCTGTTTTCTCCCAAATAGCATATTCGGCTTCATAGGGAAGCTTGTTTTCCAACCTGATAACAGAATTAATGGATATTTTCCAATCATAAACAGGAGCATTAAATTCTGTGTGAAGAATGGAAGCATCAGTCCCAACGCTGAACCATGTACTCTGTCTACTACTGATGCAAGGGTTGCAGCATAAGAGTATATCATTCTTTTCAAGGTTGTTTAGCCTCAAACAGGAATCACGAGAACTTAGTTGGCTCATTCTGTTTTGTCTAGAAGCAGAACTTAACTGATTGGCAGATTGATCTTTGCTGAAGCCAAAGGATACTATTTGACCCCAAGCGTATAATTCCTGAGAATTGTCAGCATATGGTCGAACATGCAAAATCAGATCTGAATCTCTTGCCATGCTTGTCCATGGCAAAAAAGTAGATGAGGCTGGATCTATAACGGCAATGACGTTACTCAGGTCATGAATGTTTTGGTCAGGTATTTGTTGCCTATCACGTATCCATCGTCTTCGTCGTACAAAATGTAGAGCTGATTTTAAGGATGACAGTTGCGAACTTGGAGGCCATTCTAAGTTCTGAAAATCAGTTCCATATGCCCAGCCCTCACTGTCAACATAGTCGGACTTATCGATCTTCCACGCAGAAATCCACCGCCAACCCGAGGGCAGAGTTGGCTCGAAAAAATCCTTCAAATTTGTTAAGAAATAATAAATTAGAACAAAGAATTTCAAATTCAAAATCAGTAGCCACATAATTCAAGTTAGATAACTTATCACCATTGATGAATATGAAAAATCCCTTTTACTCCAATGTCCTGGGTCACCATTAAAATTGGATGTATTTCCCCACCCAGAAATTGGTTGATAACGCTGATTTTCATATACTTCCTCAGACATAACAGCCGGGTTTTCTCTATCCTTATTTAGAAGAGGGCTGCTTAGCATTGAGGAAGGACAAAATGAAACTTCAACCTTGATACCAGTTTCATTCTTGATAACAGCAAGAGCTCTAAGGATAGCATGTTTTTTGCCATTTCTCATAACCACCTCAAATGCAAAAGGGTTTCTGTCAAGCGATTTAGAAATAATGGATAATGGCAATACCGAACTAAAACTTTCCCAAGGTCCTTCAGGCCCAAGCCCAACCCAGAAACCAACATCTCTATCAACAGCAACTGTACTCTGTAAACTTTTTTGATTTATGTCAGAATTTCGTTCAAAATATGTGGTAGAAATTACCAACAAACCAGAGTCCTTATTCTCTTCATGATCATGAACCTGAATGCATGCAAACATTTTTAGTTGATTTAACAATTCATGTTTGAAGATGTAAGAGAGAACATATATTGTTTGCTATTTTTTCAAATACATGAAAAGAAGTTGTAATGAAGGGAATCAAACATAGAGGAAAGCAAATACTGAAGCATGACATTTTTGAAATTAATTACCTTCTTCCGTAAAGCATAAGAAGAAATATTCCCACCATCAGAACCAACGGCTTGCTGTAGCATTCTCATGGAAGTGGCCCGCTTTAGGGTATTGCCACTTACTCTGAGAGGAACAGATAATGCACCTATGATTTCACCTAAAATTCAGAGTAACCTGAGTCATATATCTCAATAAAAAAGATTATTAAAAAATAGATAAAAAATGAATGAACTTGATGTACGCTTATTAGTACCTTTCCCAGCTTTAGCAGCTAGATTAGTAACTTCTACTTCCAAATTAGCCAAGCCCTGATTAATGAACAGAGTAGAATGATAATTCTCAGGTTCATAGAAAATAAAACAAAATAGAAATGTGGATGAGTTATACATAAACAATGACTCGTAAACAACATAAAACGAATCCAACTAAAAGGCAAAAAAGTTAATGAGCGAATAGAAATCAATGCTATTAGGTTTTAAATAAATTTCCATATTAGTTTGTAAATAGGTTTTAGTTTATGCAAAATTGTATATGCTCATTCATTGATGCAATTGCGGGTAAAATGAAAGGAAACTCAGCAACAAGATACCAAAACAAGGTAATCTATGATTAGTACAATAATTTTCTCCAATAGCATCCTTAAGAGATTATGTTGTCATATGTTTTACTTTCCAGCACCACAATATGGCAATGCTAATGTTATAATTTTGGGATCAACACTTTCTCCAAAACCAGATACCAACATGAGATGTCATATGTTTAACCAACGTGCAATCAAAAAGATCGATAAGGATTCAATTTAGCAAATCAATGAACAAGGGTTAGCTACAAAATACCTTGAAAGATAGTTCTTGGCTCAGCTTGTATACTGTTTGCTCAATTATAGAAAAAAAAAAAAATAAAAGAAAAAAACTACTACTCTGTAGGGAGCGTTATAATGAAGAAATAGCCAGACACTTTAGCAAGGAAACCTCTTTCCTTAGTGAACGAAGATTTTTATTGGTCTAGGTTAATAAGAGAAGCGGACCGATATGTTAGATGGTGAATAGTATGTCATGTGACTAAAACTTGAGAACAAAATACTGGTCTAAACACTTATCTTACTGTTCTAAGGGCAACTTGGCTGAAAATGAGCATGGAATTTATGGTGGGTTAGCCACGAACATAGCGGAGTTAAGATTTTATTATGGTGGTGGTAGATTGCTTCTCCAAGATGTCACATTTTGTGCCTCAACACAAACCGATGGATGCATCACACATTACAGATTTATACTTCAAAGAGATAATCCATCTTCATAGCATCCCCACGATCATCATTTATTTCAGGAATGTGAAATTTATGAGCTATTGTTGGAGGAACTTATGGGATAAATTAGGTACTAAGTTACATTTCAATTTAGTGGGACACCCACAGATAGATGGATACATAGAGATGGTGAATCACAATATGAAAAATCTCCTTTATATGTTTCTTGGGAAAAGGACAGACAAAAAAATTTAGTGCTTCCTCACGTAGTGTCTAGAATTGTTCCACCAGACAGTCCACAGGTCATATTTTTATTGAGATTATATATGAGTGGAATCCTCTCACACTGTTGGAGTTAGTGCCATAATTCCAGCTGCTGAACTTAGTAAAGTCAAAGATATTTAGACCATACATGAACAAGCAAGAAGAAAATTGCTAAGCAAAATACTATATATCAAAAGCAGACAAATAAATTAGGAGAACTCATGCCTTTAGGGATCACTTTGAAGAAATAGAGGTTTTTTGTAGGTTCTTTTGGGAAACAAAAACCTAAACATATGGCCATTTCATAATCACCAAAAGGATTAATGATAATGCCTATAAGATCTGTTTACGTAGAGACTATAATTTCAACATTTAATGTTACAGACTTGTTGTAGTATTACGAAGACTCAGACATTTACAGAAAACATGACGAAGCCTCTCCTATCAAGGGAGGAGAGTAATGCAAGAGCTGCATCGAAGTAGGGCAGGGCTCCATCCCTTAAAAAATTCTAAACAACAAGATTCTTCCCCCTCTTCGCAAACCACAGCCTTTGTGTAATCTTTTTTTTATAATATTTTAATTAAAATTAGAGTTACTTTGCTTGGAAACTATTTATTAGCTATTTTCTAATTTTAGAGACTATTGCTTTTTCTATGTATTTGGAGATTGTGTTCTTTGATTTTTTTTAAGCAGCATTGAGTGTTGTACCCTCTTCCATTTACAAGTACTGTGTCTGTAGCTTTTTCAAAAACAGGTGTCGACTGTTTATTTTTTTTGAAAATCATTTTAATTTAATTATATATATATATATATGATTACAATTTTAAAAAATAATATTTTAATTTTGAAAAGTGAGACCAAATGGATTTCACATGTTTGATAGTTTAGATGGCTGAACGCGATGCCATAAGTAGTACGCTATCCCGAAAAATATGCATATAACTTGTTGGTAGGCTTAACCATTTAAACTAAAAGATTTGTGACGTCCGTTTGGCCTGCGAAACCCTTTTTTTATAAGCTGAAAAGTTTCTCTTTTTAATACCGGAGATTAAATAAGGTTTATTCTACCTGGATTCTTAGTTCTCTATAGAGACAAACCCCTATAGTTAATTACATCTTAAATGACCTGTGTCACTTAAGAAAACTCTTAGAAAACTCTTCCTGTGTCACTTAAGAAAACTCTTGATTAAGATCAGTGATTTTGCCTTCAAGATTTCAAAGTTTAGGTTTCCAAGGTTAAATATGAGGAAATCCAATGGGAATGGCTCAAAATAGCAACAATTATTTTCAAAAGTCAATAGAGTGAAAGGTAGGGGATGTCACAGATTCGGGGGGAACCCCGGTGACTTACCGACTATCCTACGATTGGACCTTAACTCCGAAGAGACGTCCTACACCTCGTTGTCGTGGTCTCGATCGCCGCTCTCCGTCCGCTTGCTTCCATGCTCCGCTTCTTGAAAAAACTACTCTAAGCTCCTTAACAGCTCGATTATATGTTCGGGGTTGTGGTGTGTATAAATATACAGTTACTTGGTTAGTGACTCACTATAGGGTACCTCCTAAACCGGGTGTCCTACTGTCCTCTATCCTAAAAGACCCCTGCAAGTCTATAGAAGTAACATGAATAATAAAAGGGAAACATGCTACGAAACGCAGTAAATAATAAACAGTAGCATCGAAAGCATGAACTGTATATATATGCAGAAAGTGTGCAGTAAAGAAAGTAAAACACTGTAACATAAAACAAACCTGCATACCTGACGAGCCTGCTGCTTCTGTAAATGGGATCGGTGTCGCAGGTAAAAGAAAACGCGTATAATGAAAAAAATTTATGAAATGTGAAAGTATGAATTTATATAAACAATGAATGAATAGCAAACATCACCTTAAAAATTCGAGAAAAGCGACAAATGACCCACGATAACTCTAAGAAAACCATCGAAAACACGAGGAAAATCAGGAGGGCATCACAAATGACTTACAAAGATCCCAATAAAATCGTAGAAAACGCACAAAAAATCCGAGGAAAGAAAGAACACCGTAAGCATTCGGGTCGGGCTAGACTCAAATTTAGGTATTCTCAAGGGACTCCGAAGACAACTATCGGCCACCCGTATGTATAGAGCCCAACATTCAACTAGAAGGGTTTCCTACAATACCAATTTAGGAGGGTGCTCCTTAGCATAGTATAAATGATTAACAAGTAGACAATCGAATTATATTACTTATAATTTATATTTTGGCATGCATATAGGTTTTATGCATATAAGAGAAAGTAATATTTATTTTTGTAGTTAAAATACTTTTGTAAATAGTGCACCTGTTCTTATCATACATGTTTTTATCATTTTTACAAAATATGATTGTCCACAAGTCGATTGCACTGTAGGGCTAGGACCGCCAACAACCTAAGAAGACAAAGGTACTCTGCTAGTCTAGTATCGGTGAATAATATTGTCATCCTACGTTTCATCGGGTCTCGGGATCGGATCCCAGTGTCGTAGAATGGAATATTATTCAGCTCTACCACCGAATGCCTTTATCATCAAAACCTAAAACCCTAAAAAGACTGTCTAACTTATGACATTGCTTGATGATTCATATATAGCCGCAGCTCTATACACACGCTTATGTTGCATACATAAGCACCTAAAACCGAACCAAGAAGCAATGAAAGCGAACCGAAAAAAAAAAGAAATGAAAAAAAAAGGAAGGCTAACCCGCCTCCAAAACCAGTTTAAGGAAGCCAAAATGGTAGGAGGGTTAGCCTAAAATATTCACCCAATGGGACACCCCAATAAATAACAAAATGAGCACACCTATCAATAGCTAACCCCTTTCCAAACCGTCGATGTGACAAATCCAAAAGAAATGTATCGAAAAGCCCCAATTGCTAGCCCAAAATACCTCCAAGGACACATGATAGAGGATTCCAAGTTGCTCCCAAACTTTTCTCAACAAATACCAAATAGATTCTTTTTTTTTCTTGCAATCAAATTGACCCAAAGAATTGAGGCGTGAACTATCTCCAAACATCTAGTAGACTGATCCTCGAAAAGGGGCACTCAAATTTTTCCAAAAAAACAAAGATTCAAGGTATTCCAATTCACAAAAAATAAAACATTCAATTCCACGTCAAACCAATAGTTCCAATGAGATATGAACCCAACAAAACACAAAGGAACCCATGCAGGTGCTCACGGGTAGGGGCAGCAGAAGGGAACAATCAAACAAGGTGCCTACGACTAGGGACAACAGAACAAACAACCAAGCCCGGTGTCCACGGCTAGGGGCGACAGAGAACCCACCAACCAACCCAAAAAAAATCACAGACAAGTGTTCTCGGGTAGGGGCAACAAAAACGGACAATCAAACTAGGTGCACAACTAGGGACAGCAGAACAAAACAACCAAACAAGGTGTCCACGGCTAGCAGCAGCAGGGGAGCCATTAGGCCAACACAAAGGAGACCCGAGTAGATGCTCTCAAGTAGGGGCGGCAGGGAAGCCACCAAGCCAACACAAATAAGACCCGAATGGGTGCTCTCGGGTAGGGGGGCAGCTGCAACAACCCATACTAACAAGAAAAGGCCAACAAGGCTCTCAAATAAAGCCAATAAGAGAGAAGAAATATAACAAAACACCAAAAGCTCCACAACTGAAGTAAACGCCTAAAGTACAACTTCCAGAAGCCCAAAAATTAAGTACAACCATGCATATGTATTTCGAACAGGAAGGGCAACAGAGAAGTAGCAAAACATGGCCCCCAAATCAAACTTCAAAATGCCTCAAAATTAAATACCATTATCTGCATATATTTCAAAACAGGATGGCAGCAGTAAGGAACAAAACAAGGCCCCCAAATAAAACTCCAAAAAGCCTCCAAAATCAAACATCACACTCTGCATGTATTTCGAACAGAGGGGCAACAAAAAGGAACAAAACCAGACCCCCAATGGAAAAACTCCAAAAAAAGGCTTCCAAAATCAAATATTCTGTTCACCTGTTTCAAACAAAGGGGGGAGGCAACAAAAAAGCACCAAAACAAACCCCCAACATAACATTTCAAAAAAAAAAACAAAAAAAAAACAAAAGGAAAAGAAGGCCTCAGGATTAAACCAATACAACGAGGAAAACCACAACCCATAAGGCTAAAACATCACTCAAACTTCAATGTACATATATAGATGTGATAAGAACACAAGGAGGAAGCTTGCACAAGCATAAGAATTGAACCATGCCTTTCTTTTAAGCCTACATTTCCAGTTAAGTATCATAGAGCATTCAAAATAGGCCCAATAGTATGTAGTATTCAAACTAGAGATAACATAAACCGATAGTAACTTCAGCCAACTAAAAGTCCAACGGCTAATAGCTATTCCAACATTAAATACCAGCCAAGACAAGTAAACCATCATATGCATGCATTTCCCTTTTCTAAAGGAAAGAAATTTACGCACAACCCCTATCGAACGGAGAAGGAAAGCAGGGAAAAGAAAGTGGGTACCTCACTTGAGCTTTTCGCAAACAACAGAGGAAAAATCACAAGGTTTCCCAAGCACCATGCTCAAAAGCACGAGAGGTGAATCTGATAGTCTCCCCAAACTCCCAGATTTCGCAAACGACAGAAGAGAGGGAAGAAGAGCACAGAACCTGCCCGAAGTTGAGGCCAACCTAGAGATCTACCCAGATAAAAGAAAACCATCGCAGCAAGAGCCACAGAGGTAGAAGCCATCGAGAAGGAGAAGAAATGCCACATTCGTGACCAAGGAAATAAATGCGCCAGGGTCAACTTACCTCAGTAGGAATCGAAGACTCACAAATGAGCTCCTTACTCAGCGAGACGAAGCATGATATGTTTCGGAAAGACGCAACTTGGGCAGAGAATGTCAAAAGGGAAAGGGAGTCAACTCATCGTCACGCGAAGAGGGGAACAAACCAGAGGAATGCGCGGTTAGGGCTCAACTCGGGGACGGAACCGAAGGGTAGCCGCAAGCTAGGGATTTAGGGAAAATAAAATCCCCCAGCCAATCTATCC